CTCCCCAGACACCTCCTCCTGATCCTGCCCCCACTCACAGCATTGTTGTCTGTGTCCATTGGTTATGCATACATGCATATAAGTTCTTTGGTTTATCTCTTCCCTCCCCCTTGCCCTCCTCTTCTGAGGTTTGTCAGTCTGAACCCTACTATTTTCTATGTCTCTGGGTCTGTTCTGTTCATTAGCTTATTTTGTTCATTATATTCCACAAATAAGTGAGATCATGTGGTATTTGTCTTTCTCTGATTGGCTTATTTTGCTTAGCATAATACTCTCCAGGTCCCTCCATGTCATCTCAGAGGATAAGAGATCTTTCTTCCTTACAGCTACATAGTATTCCATGGTGTATATGTACCACAGCTTTTGTATCCACTCATCTATTGATGGACACTTGGGCTCTTTCCAGATCTTAGCTATTGTAAATAGTACTACTGTGAACATAGGGGTACATATATTCTTTCTGATTGGTGTTTCAGGCTTCTTAGGATATATTCGTAAAAGTGGGATCACTGGGTCAGATGGAAGTTCAATTTTTAATTTTTTGAGTAAATATCATATTGTTTTCCATAGTGGCTGCACCAGTCTGCATTCCCACCAGTAGTGTACTTGAGTCCCCTTTTCTTCACACCCTTACCAACACTTGTTGTTTGATGATTTGTTGATGGCAGCCATTCTGGCAGGTGTGAGGTGATACCTCATAGTTCTTTTAATTTGCATCTCTCTGATGATTAGTGATGTTGAGCATTTTTTCATATGTTTCTTGGCCATTTGTATGTCCTGTTTGGAGAGGTGTCTATTTAGGTCCTCTGCCATTTTTTAATTGAGTTCTTTGTCTTCCTTTTGTTGAGTTGTATGAGTACTCTATATATTTTGGAAATTAACCCCTCATCTGATGTATCGTTGGCAGTTATGCTCTCCCATATAGTGGGTTCCCTTTCCATTTTGATGGTTATTTCTTTTGCTGTACAGAAGCTTTTTACTTTGATGTAGTCCCATGTATTCATTTTGTTTGTTTGTTTCTCTTGCCTTCGGTGTTGTATCATTGAAAATTCTGCTGTGTGTGATGTCTGAAATTTTGTTGCCTACATTTTCTTTTAGGATTTTTATGGATTCATGAGTCACATTTAAGTCTTTTATTTGTTTTGAGTTTATTCTTGTGTATGGTGTAAGTTGGTGGTCTAGTTTCATTTTTTTGCATGTAGCTCTCTCTAGCTGTTAATGAGCCTCAATTTGCATTTTTCTGGCCTGGCCAGGTGGTGTTAAATTCCTGAGGAAGGAGCTGTTGCTTCTCCCCAGGGCTCTGGGAAGGGGCTCTTTGAGTAAGATGGTTATTGTCCTATGAGGGAACAATTCCGTGTAAAACTTCTGATGCCCTCCCAGCTCTCCAAACTGTCTCTCCACACAGTTCCAGTCCAGTCTGCCCTCCATGAGCTGGAGCCCAAGGTGAGTGGCTGTAGCTAATTTAGTGCTCTCTCCCGGCACTCTGCACTATGGAGCCGGTTTGGGGTATAACCTTGAGGGAACTGCTCACAGCTAAAATAGCCTGTAGGTGCTGTCCGTGGGCTGCCAGCCCACCCTCTCCCACTTCCCCAGTTTCTACCAGGCTCCATTTGGTGTTCTCTTTCTGTCCCTGGTTATAAGGTTTTATCCAGCTGCTTTTCTACTGGTTTTTGTCTATGAACTGTCTTTATTTTAGTTGTAATTCCAGTTTGGTCCTAGGAGATGGTCTGTGTAACTTCCATGTACTCCTGCCATTTTTCAACCTCCTTAAGAAGAAAAAGTTGGAATCGGCACTCCTTTGTCTATTTTGATTGGGTCTTTTTAATTTTACTAATTTTAAAGAAATTTTTAGCAGACGTATATGTAAATATATATATTTTATAAACACATACACACACACACACATTTTATTACATACATGCATACATATAGTCTTGGCTGGTGTGAATAAAGAAGGTACACACGAAAATGTATTCTGGCCTGCCAGTGTGGTTTAGTGGATTAAACATTGTCCCGTGGACTGAGAGGTCCCGATTGGATTCTCTGTCAGGGCACATGCCTGGGTTGTGGACTTGATCCCTAGTAGGGGGTGTGCAGGAGGCAGCCAATCCATGTTTCTGTCTCTCTCCCTTCTGTAAAAAATATGAAAACACTTTTAAAAAAATGTATTCTGATAGACTGCTGGAAAAAAAGGAATTTTAGTTCTTACTCATGGATTGTAATATATGACTGTTTACTAACTAAATGTTACATGATTTTGGACAATCTGGTAAACCCTCATTCTTTAATTTATTAAACATAATTTTAAAATTCATAAGAGTCTTTATACATATATTTTTTAAATAGCTTTAATTTCTAAGTTAATAAGATTTAGTGTTCTAAACCTTTTACATGTATAAACATGTTTAATCCTCGTAAAAGCTGTATGAAATAGAATATCATTGTTACTGTCACTTTACAGATGAAGAAACTGAAGCATGTTAGCTTACCCAAGGACACATAGAAAAGGAGGCTCATCTGGGATTAAATCCAGGAGTCCACCCTCTCAACCACTATACAATTGGTATTGACCATAATACCAATTTAAAATATGGTGCAATTTAATCTCTGGTGAATGGCCAATAACCTCATCTTAAAAGCAATAAAGGAGTGTGTTGCTAGAAGGAGGTACTTTCACCTATTGATCGAAGACTTTTTTGGTTTGTAGTACATGAAAGTAAGATGGCATTTGAGCATATTGAAGCAAAATACTTAGATTTAGCTGATTTGAAAGAGAAATACTAGAAACAGTTATGACAATGCTAAATCAGTAACAGCTTTTATACCCCCTTCCAAAAAATATTGGAATATAACGAATACTTAATTTGCACTAAAATGTGAATTTATTTTCTTTTAATGTTTTAATGTGCAGCACTCTTGCAAATAGGGACCATTTTTTCTTTAAACTATTAACATGTTAACATGTTGATCTTTTCCCATAGGGCAAATAGATGCCACCTCTTTTAATAATTCCTTGGCATAAATTATAATTACTTTAATCAGTAGATGAATGCTTATTTATTAGCATTTGTGTGCATAGATCTGCATGAGTATGTCAGATTAATAAAGATTTCTTGTTTGAATTCCAAAAGTCTCTTGTGCTTTGAATACACAGATGATATTAAAGGGGAAATGACTTGTAAGAGTTGGACATATTACTGAAGTACTCTATCTAGAAAAAGACTTTCCATCAAATCCTTAACTTTCGTAATGTAAACACATTGATAAAAGAGCTTTGTTTCAAAATCTTTCTTTTGTAGGCAATTATTTTCTTATCAATTAATTAGTGTGTTAGGGGTAAATGCCAAAATAGAGTTGCTAGTGGCAATTTAATTAGCTTCCTTCATAAGTGATTCAAGCATGAGAGCTGTGTTTTCTGTAATTTAAATTTGCTGTTAATCTCTTGGGAAGATTATCCATTCAGATTTGCAGGTTTTTCTTGTTCTAGAGAAACCTTAAACATTTTTGTTTGTTCGTTGTGGTTAAAGGCAATTGTATGTATCCTGTCAAACAGGTATTTGTGCACAAATAATGAGTGAGAACAGTTTTGATTTAGAATGATAACATTAGGGTAAATTTCATATTGGTCTACCCTAAGCAATAGGTATATTATATGCTAAGCTCTGCGCTGAGCACTTCCCCTGCTGCTCGGAGCTATTGGTGGATGGTACCCTAGAAGAAGAAAGACTGAAACTGGGATTAATCTCAATCATGATTACTTTGTCATTTATTTAATAAACTGTGTAGTATACTGTTAGAATACACTGTGTTTGTGATGCCACTTTATGCTTTGATTATCCTTTCTTGGTAGAGGATTCATTACTGTTCTCTAAAATCTGCAGTACACTGGAGCAGTGTTTCATGAACTGTGTTACAAACAAGACTAGTTGTGCAAGGTGTTGATGTTAAATAGAAAAAAAAGTATCTAGGCAAAGAATGGGTAATACTTGGTTTAAATAAGTTCAACAGTCCTCTTTACCATCATATTTTTCAGAACTATTAGTGTGCTAACGTGCATTATGAATCTGTAAGAGGAGGATGTAGCATCTGGTCTTTCTCAAGATTCTTTGATTAAAGATTCACCCACCCCCATCCCCCTGCTTTTTTTTTTTTTTCCCCCAGAGTAGGAGGGAGAGAGAGGAAGGGGGGAGAGAGAGAAACATCGACATAAAAGGGACACATCGAGTGGCTACCCCCCGCACGATCCAACCAGGGCCGGAGACAGCTGCATCCGAGGTACGTGCCCTTAGCGGAACCGAGCCCAGGTCTCTCTGGACCGCAGGCCGACGCTCTAATGGCTGAGCCAAACCAGCCAGGGCACCCCCTGCTTTTTTTTAACCCAATAGAAAGTCACTGGGCAGGAAACAGTTTGGGAAATGGTGTTCTAGACCAGGGTATCTCAACTGTAGCCCTGTAGCCATCTTGGGCCAGACAGTTCTTTGTTGTGGGGGCTATTCTGTTCATTGTAGAATGTTTACCAGGATCCTTGGCTCTCCCTCCTGGATGCCAGTAGCATCCCTCCACTTTCCCCCCAGTTGTAACAGTCAAAATGTGTTCAGACATTGCCAAATGTCTCCCAGGAGGCAAAATCTACTAGAGAACCACTCCTCTGGATTAATGTTACAATATTATAGAGTTATAGTTTTGTTAATAATTTTCATCTGAATTTTTTTTTTTTTTACTGAGGAAGAAACAAGAGAAAGTGGAAGCATAGGTAAAAAAGGTTCAGTACATTCTACTGTAATAAATTTTCTGGATTCACTTGATACTTTGGCCTGATTTTCTAACAATTGTTATTGTGGAGAACTTACTGCAAAAAATAATTTCAAACTTAGCAGAATATTTTATGACGCAGAAAAAAAAATATTTTTTATTAAAAGAGTAGCCAGATAATTAAATTTCTCTGCATGTGAAGATATTGCACATTTCCAAAATCCTTTTTTTTTTTTTGTTTTCTGCAGGGCTATTTTCTTCTTTTTGAATCTATGTTAGATTCTGTTCTTTATGCAAAGAACAAATACTTGGCAAAAGGAGGATCGGGTGAGTATAAAATTCTAGTTTTAATAACCTATTTTAGTCTGGCAGAACCAAATGAACCTTTAGGTTTCAAATAAACTATGCATGACTGAGAAAGTTCCCAATACAGATGAAAGATTTTTCCATTAGATGAAGCTTTAAGACATTCGTTTAGTATACTGTTGATAGTAGAACATTATATATGATACGAAGGATTCAAAGTTAATGGTATTCTCAAGAACACTTTTTGTAAAAACATTTAAGGACTAGAATTGGAAGCTCTTTGATATGCAAATGAAAATGTAACAAAGTTTTTTATTTTTGATCCTTATGACATTTAATTTTCTTTTTTCCAAAAGAATATTTCATGCTAGGAGATTGTTCACATTAGTGGCAAATTTTCCATGACTTCACTAAATATATAAACCTGGTTTTTGTGCGATTTAATGAGAGCATTTAAATAGTGACTGGATTCTACTAAGTTGTTAAAACAAAACATACCCAATCAGTGTTTTTAAATGGATCCCAATAAATTTGGAAAGCTTTCTTTTTATGTCCCTGGCAAACTTTTAATCATATTAACTGCATGCTCAGAGTGAGAATGCGTTTTTACAGTTATATACAAACAAAATAATTCTTTTCAGGGCAGGGACTGTTTTACTCATCTTTGCCTCTTCGATGAGCTCCATAGCTCCTGCAACACAGATAGAGCATCATATAGGTTTATTGAATTGAATCATTAAAGCTGAATTGAGCCCTGGCCAGTGTCGCTCAGTGGTTAGAGTGTAGACCCCAGCACCAAAGGGTTGCAGGTTTGTTTATTGGTCAAGAGCACGTACCTGGGTTGCAGGTTTGATTTCCTATCCCAGTTGGCGTGTATGCAGGAGGCAACTAATCCATGTCTCTCTCTCACATCTATGTTTCTCTCTCTCTCCCTCCCTTTTACTCTCTCTCTAAAAATCAAAAGAAAAAATAACCTCAAATGAGAATGAACAAAAACAAAACAAAAAACCTGAATTGAATAGCATCAGTCTCCTTTTGTTCACCTCTTTCTGTGCTTTCCCTTTCTCAAAGCTTCAGGGTCAACAAATGGTATCCATGGTCAGAGTACAATTGATAAAAGTATTATATAAAAATGGATGACAGGGAGATATTTGGAACTAGTGACATAAAGCATTGGTCCATACTTATTATGCCTCCTGCCAATCTATGGCCTATGAAATTACTTTGGTAGTTATGGATTATAAGGCCAAAACATAAAACACAGAAAATTCTCCAGTAGAGTTCTTTTTATAACAGCATTTGAAAGGATTGCCTTTCTTGTTCAAAATGCTCTTGTTTTATCACTGTATTAAGGTATGTTCCTGATCTCTGACATGAACTTGGCTAGAATTTTTAGATATATTTTACCCTGCAGTTATTGGCTATATCTTTCTATAAATGTGGTGGCATTTTTTAAAAATGAGGACTGCACTTAATGACTAAAAATTAATATTATCTACCACTTGTTGATTGTCTATACAAGCTGTGAAATAATATACTCTACCTTTACTTATGGTATTACATGTAATCCTCACACAGCCCTTTGAGATTTTAGAAACAAAGGTGGCCTGGATGACACATGTTAAGTGGTGAGGCCTTGTTTATGTTTGTTTTTTTTATTCTCACCTGAGAACATTTTTCCATTTTTTGTTCAGATAGAGTGGGAGGGAGAGAGAGAAAAACGTCGATGTGAAAGGGACACATCGAGTGGCTGCCACCCATACGACCCAACCAGGGCCGGGGACAACTGCAACCCGAGGTACGTGCCCTTAGCAGGAACCGAACCAGGTCTCTCTGGACCGCAGGCCAATGCTCTAACCGCTGAGCCAAACTGGCCAGGGCTCAGTGCATCTCTTTTTAATTAAAATAATAATTGGGTGATTAAAAGAGGGAAGTAAAGGGAAGAACAAGGAAATATACTAATTTTATCATTACTCATGATAAATTTGTAAAGAGCATTGAAAATAAAGAACTAAAGATATTCTCTAAATAATTATAAACTTAGCTACAGAATAAATAATATTCTGGAAAAAAGCCGCAAGACTACATAGTGAGCTACTTAAAACAGAAACTACAGATACAGAAAAGATAATGTAAAGTGGTATAGTTGTAAACAAAAATAATTTCTCATCAATAACTGTAAATGGACTAAACTCACCTATTCAAAGAATAAGAATTTCAGATTGGATTATAAACGAAAACCCAGTTTTGTGTACCCTATAGAGGTATATCTAAAACAAAGTTATTTAGAAAAGTTAAACTTAAAAGGAAGAAAAAATATTAAGGCAGAAAATGAAAACAGCACTCATAATGTTGATACCAAACAAGGAATTTGGGGCTAAATATTATAAAATTAATCATATGAAACTTCAAGTGACTCAACTGAAAATTATTATAAATAATAAAAGGCCCTGGCCGGTTTGGCTCAGCGGTTAGAGTGTCGGCCTGCGGTCCAGAGGGACCCGGGTTCGGTTCCCGCTAAGGGCACGTACTTCGGTTGCAGTTTGTCCCCGGCCCTGGTTGGTTGTGCGGGTGGCAGCCACTCGATGTGTCCCTTCACGTCGATGTTTCTCTCTCTCTCTCCCTTCCTCTCTCTCCCTCCCACTCTATCTGTACAAAAAATGGAAAAGTATCCTCGGGTGAGGATAAAAATAAAAAAAAAAAAAAAAAAAAAAGAATTTAATATATTATAGAAATACAAAATTAGAAATAAGCAAGACTTCCATGCAGACAACTTTACTACTGAAGGATACACAAAGATTTATTTATTTAATTTTTAATCTTTTTTTCTTTATTGATATTAGAGAGAGAGGAAGGGAGAGAGAGAGAGAGAAAACATTGATTGGCTGCCTCCTGCATACCCCCCACTGGGGATCAGGCCCACAACCTGGGCACGTGCCCTGACTGAGAATCGAATCAGCGACCTCTTGGTGGATGGGTCAGTGCTCAACCACTGAACCACACTGTCCGGGCACAAAGATTTAAATAAATGAAAAGACATTACATGTTCTTGGATAGAGAGAAGTAATGCCATAAAGATGTCCATTTTCCCAAAGTTAATTTAAAATGAGGTGCAGTCCCAAAACATTAACAGTGTTGAAGATAAATGATAAGTATATGAGAGTTAATTATGTTCTTCCCTTTTTTTTATCTATGTTTAAAATTTTTTATGGGACACCTTTTATAAAATGATAATGTAATTGCAACCAATGGGTTCTTTTTTAATTAGAATTTTTAAAAAATTTTAATAGGAATGGCAAGGAAAGCTCTTAGGTAGAAGAGTAACAAGGTGGTAGAGAGGAGACCAGAAGAATAGTGCTACCATATATTACAGAACATTTAAAGCCCCGATAATTAAAATAATATTCTATAGGCTCTTGAATGGACAGAGGAGTTAAACAGAATAGAAAATCCTGGTATAGACCCAGCAATATATGACATCTCATATAATTAAGGAAATAATTTACAATGGTAAATTGTGTTGAGACAATTGGGCAGCCCTCGGTGTAAAAAAATGGTAATGTTTACATTTAATCCACACAATAAATTGTACACTTTACATGTTCAGTGGGTCAAAACTAAATGCAAAAAAAAAAAAAAAAAAAACACAGTAAAAATACTAGAAGGAAACATAAGTGTATTCCTTTATAAACTTGGGTGCAGGGAGCTTTCTCAATAAGAAGTTAAATTCATATGCCTTAAAAGAAAGATTGATAAATTTGATTATATATAAATAAACTTAAAAATGGCAGATAGCCCAGCCAATATGGCACACTGGTTTGATTCCCCATCAGGGCACATGCCCAGGTTGTGGGCCAGGTCCCCAGTGGGGGCATGCAGAAGGAAGCCAATCGATGTTCTCTCTCACCGATGTTTCTGTCTCTCCCTCTCCCTTCCTCTCTCTCTAAAATCAATAAAGATAAAAAATAAAAAAAATAATTAAAATGGCCATATACACTACATGCAAGTCACAAGAGAAACTAAAGATTGAGAAATGTTTTTCAGTTATCACCAATGAAAAGCTAATCACCTTAACACATAAATAGATCCTACAAATAAGTAGACCACAAACCCAACAGAAAATTGGACAAAGAATTCAATGGCAGCTCACAGAAAAGGAAATATGACTGACTCTTATTAAAACATGTGCTTAGTTTCTGTCATTTTAAGAAAAATCTTCAGTCTAAGAAATCTCTGCATTACTGAATATTGCAGATTGTTCCTGTTTTCTTTGTGAAGTTTTAGTTTTTACATTTAGGTCTGTGATTCATTTCAAGTTAATTTTTGTGAATTATGTGAGGTAAGAGTAGATGTTAATATTTTTTAGCACCTTTGTTGAAATAACTATCCTTCCCCATGAATTGCTTAGTACCTTTGTTGAAAACTAATTGACCGTATACGTGTGGGTCTGTTATCTGTATTCAGTTCGTTCAAATAAACTTAAATATTTGAAAAGTCTGTCCTTTTACCAATACTATACTGTCTTAATTACTGTAACATTATACTAAGTATTGATATCAGGTAAAGGAAGTCCTTCATCTTTGATCTTTTAAAAAATTGCTTTGGCAGTTTGGACATTTGTGTGTTTGTGTGGTTTTTAAAATCAGTTTTAGAATCTTACTAATTTTTGAATGTGTCAATTTAGAATCAATAAATTTTTTTAAATGCTATAATTATGATAGGATTTGCTTCAATGATTAAATCAATTTGAGAATAGTCAACATCTTAATATTGAATCTTCTAATCCATGAACACAGTATTATGTCTTTTTATTTTTTTTATTTTTTTTTATTTTTTTTAATCCTCACCCGAGGACATTTTTCGATATTTTGTTCAGATAGAGTGGGAGGGAGAGAGAGGAAGAGAGAGAGAGAGAGAAACATCGACGTGAAAGGGGCACATCAAGTGGCCACCACCCGCAGGACCTGACCAGGGCCAGGGACAAACTGCAGCCGAAGTACATGCCCTTAGCGGGAACCAAA